TAATTCAGAAGAAATGTGATTTTTTTCTAAATTTTCTTGTGGTTTGGCTTGAAAATTTTCATTGACACGCTGCTCTCAGCACTCTATAAATATCCTATCCCAGCTGACTTACTCATTTCAGTAGCCATCCGCAGTTGTGGGTCAGAAAGACTGTGCCTGGGATGAAAGGACTCAGACTATTCAGTTCCCATGTTGGGATTTAGTATCTACTGACATAGCCAATAGTATAAGTAACCTTTATAATTCCACAAAAGAAAGATGCATGCTTTAATCCTATTCATATTATACACCATACTGTTACAGAATCATAGAATCATTTAGGTTGGAAAAGACCTTTAAGATCAAGTCCAAGCATCAACCTACCACTACCAAGTCCACCATTAAACCATGTCCCTAGGGCCATGTCTACACATGTCTTTTAAATAGCTCCAGGGATGGTGACTTACCCACTTCCCTGGGCAGCCCGTTCCAGTGCTTGATAACCCCTTTGGTGAAAAAATTTTTCCTAATATCCAATCTAAACTATTCTCAATATGTCATTTCAGGAATGAAGGTCTAATTCCCAGCAATTATGTTACTGAGAACAAGAAAAGTAATTTAGAAACATATGAGTAAGTACCCTTGAAAATGATAATTGCACTTTCTTTTCTAAAAATTATTTGGAGTAATACCTTTTAGTGCTTGATCCTTCAGTCTTCATTAGACACGAACACATGTTTATTGAAAGTTCTGGTTTTTGTGTTACTCAGAATGAAGTAACCATTCGGATTTGGTACTATTTGCTCAGAGAGTATAACATGAAGTTACAAACATCGAGTACTTCAACAACATTCATTTGCATAAATCACAATGGCAGAATCCAGATGTTTCCTATTTCTGTGGGCTCACTACATAACGTTTCCATATTCTGATCTCCTCCTGTTGTGAACATGTAATTAATTGACTAGAAGCTAATTCTGATTACTTCAACCTTAGTTTACTGGAGAGAAGAGTAAAATTCTGCAAAATTCTGGAGAAGAGAGGCTTGATGCTGCGAGTGGGACTGCAAATGTCATCATAGTTTGGCATAACTGTTTCCTGGGTGTTCTTTTGTTTGAGCTTCTATTTAATCACAGTGAACGGGGAAAAGAGTTTTTATATTTACAGTGGTCTCATAAAGTCACTTCAAATTAAGAGATGCTTATATACAACAATAGTTCTATTCAGGTTTTTGGACTGAGAAGATGTATTACTTCTGTGAAACAGAGCAAAAATTAAATTTTACTGGCTGAAATTAAAGGATAAGCTATCTTCTCGTTGCAGGTGGTACTGCAAAAACATAAACAGAAGCCAGGCAGAACTTCTCTTGCGCCAGAAGGTAACTCAGCTTATACAAAGAGCTAATGATATCTAGAAAGATCTATCAGTAGAGGCATCAAGACCGTTACCACAGTCAAATGCAAATCTTTTTGCTATGCAGTAAGAGAGAGAGAGAGTACTTTAAAATAAAAGGCTTTCTGGGGTAATCGTACAGTGCAGACTCTTCAGACTTCACAGAGTTTTAAGTCATAGCCCCAGGAAATTCAACGTAGATTTTCGATACTAGATAAACTGAATTACATGTGGTTTACTGTGCTTTTCTTTTGTATGAAACACTGAGGGCTGAAATCTGTGCAGTGAGGAAGTTAGCGATGTGGCAGAGGTTAACAAACCCCCTGCATCTTCCTTATGTATATAGCAAATAATCCATATTGTGTTCTACCCACTATCCGTTACCAAAGTGCCGAACTCAGTTAAACTCATCGGGTCTCTGCTCAAAGACTAACACAGGGCTTGGGCAAGACAGATCAGAGAAGAACATCTCAGACAGAACTGTTTTACAGTATTTTATTCTAGTGATTTGTGCAATTTTATTTTTTAATAAATCAAAGATTTTCACTACTTCACACTGAAGAGTATAATTCACCTAAATTATTTAACTTCAAGAAATTGCCTGGAACTTAATCTTTTCCCTTGGTTAATTTTGCTCTGCTATCTACCTGGCTATCAATTCCCATTCTCCACTGCTTTATCCCCCTCCCAAACAGTCATAGGTATTCCACAGAATTTGGTAATCAGCTGCAAGTCCTCTCTGAAGGGAGGATTATTCATGCTCAAAAGCAGAAAATAACTCTACTTGGATTTCTTTTCAGTCCAAAGAAGGCGCGTTTGTTGTCAGAGATTCAAGCCAACAGGGACTTCTTACGCTGTCTATGTATTCGCTGGCCAAAGGGTGAGTTTTAATCAGGAGGTGATGGAAGAGCTTCCCCCAAACTCCTTGGGCTAAGTGGGTGGGTTGGACATGGGGTGCACAGGAGCGGGGAACCACTGGCGTGCTGTTTATGCAGAGATAATTACCCCATGTGCAGAAATGTTGATGGTGGGCAGTGGGTCTGGGAGTCAGGGTGCAAATGTCCTGTCAAGACAAGATTAACGGCACTCATTGGAGTCCTCAAATAATCTGCTGTGACAGCTGTGCATCCCATCCATGTAATGCAGTCAATAAGACCTTGCATTCGCATCTCCTTGCCTCTCTTTCTTCATGAAGTGCTATGGCTGTCATCCCAGACTCTGTTGCCCCCAAACTTCTGGTTTTCTCCCAAAATCACCTCACCTCCTCATTGTGCAATCTTTCTTCTTTTGCTGGAGGACTGCCACAGGACTCACTTTCCCATCACATCAATAGTGACCACCTAACAGCGTTGACTTACCCCTTCTCCTGCCACAGGACTCACTTTCCCATCACAATAGTGACCACCTACAGCATTGACTTACCCCTTCTTGAGCTGCCTTATACCCCTCACCCTCAGCCCTCCTACATCCTCCTGCATCAGTGGCATTTGCTTTCCTTCTCTCTCTCTCAGAGAAATCCAGAGGTGAGAGAAGCAAGGCAAAGGCCTCGCTGCTACCACCACCTTCTTCCTCTCTCCTGCCCTTCCTCGGAAATGTGGGGAGAGCCCACCCCACCACCCCCGTGCTGGGCACAGGCTCACGATTGCGGTAGGGTACCAACCTTCAGCAGCCACCTCCAGCCTGAAATGCAAACCTAACAACTTCTTCATTTGGAATCTCCCAGAAAGCAGGGGTAGATAGGCAGCAAAATGTGCAGACAGCAAGAAGGGCAGATAATGTGGAGAAATAGTAAATGTAAAAAAGTAAAGTATCAAAAAAAGTAAACGTATCAAATAAAAGCTTCAATGAGGAGCTTTTTGAGAAGCAGAACAGAAAATGTAATCTCACAGTATACATGCATATGCTTTTAACTTTGGGGGGAAACTGAGGTAATGAAGAGCATTTCAATTTTAAAAGCTTAGATTCAAATAAGTGTTGAATCATGAAGAACATCTGTTAAATGCTATAGCTATTTCTTATGGGTGCAATGATACTTGTGCAATAAAAACCATTATGCAGTATCTCCCAAAGTTGGGAGAGAGATCCACTCAAGGAGTCTTCTTTTTTTCCTGAAACACTATCCCAGCTACACGCAGCCATTTTAAGTTGAGAATTGTACCCCAAGCTTTCAGATTTTTCGGTGATTTCTTTCAAAGTGAAATCTAATCAGATTTATAGTACAAATTATTTTTACTGAAAATTATAATGCTTTGTTGATTTCAGAAGTCATAGTGGAGATATTCGACATTATCAAATTAAGAAAAATCACTTGGGACAATATTATGTGGCAGAGAAATATTTGTTTTCATCTGTTCCTGAACTCATCGAGTATCATCAACACAATGCTGCAGGTAATGCATGCAAGCTGATAAGGTTTTACAGCTGATGATTTGAAGCTCCTCAGGATTTTGCAAGATTGGAAATCACACTTCTTCTAAAACTTTCCTTATGAAAAGAGACACAAACTTTTCTATTGCTGATGAATTCAAATATGCCATGATCCTTTCTGCCATAATCATAGCTGCCATGTGCATATAACATAAGGGAAGTGAAACTACCAAACTCATCTACATGTTTTTACAAAGCCTAGTGTATTTACCTGCTCCGTATTCTCCTGGTTCATATTTGACTGAATGGGACATGTATGAAATTTGATCATAATTCCTTCTTTGTCTACAACAAGGACTTGCATGCGTGCAATTTAATAAAAGCAGGATTACAAAGCCTAGTGTATTTACCTGCTCTGTATTCTCTTGGTTCATATTTGACTGAATGGGACACGTATGAAATTTGATCATAATTCCTTCCTTGTCTACAACAAGGACTTGCACGCGTGCAATTTAATAAAAGCAGGCGCTATGCTGTGCTGTGCATCAGCAGGCAGCATTCTACTGATTTTGGCAAAAAAAAAAACCCACCCCACAAACAAAGACAGAATTATGAGCACAAGGACTCTCTACCACTGGTTTGCAGCCTACCAGGGTTAGCCACCTCTTATCGTTGGCTGACGGCAGCCTTTTATAATTTTTAGCACTAAAAGGTGCCCTTTACCTTGTTTCTGCCCATCATTTTAATATAATCTAAAATGCTTTTACCCTGAATGAGTGGATGTGGGAAAACAGACAGAGATCCCTCACACTAGTGAGGAAGGAAGATATGGGAATGGACTGAGCCTTTTGCTGGAGGGAGGAGGACTGTAGGAAACACATGAAGCAGAAAAGGACCTGAAAGTAACAGTGGGAAAAATGAATGAATGCAGGGAGTCCTTGGTGAGGGATGTACTCGCTGGTACTGTTGGCTGGTGAATTCAAAGAAAATGAGTGACAGACACAAAAATATTTCTTACAATGGGAAACAAGCCTGAGAAATCATGCTGGAACCACTGAGGTGGCTAATACAGTATTGTAGTACTCATTTACTTAAGATAACTAATATGGTACAAACAAAGAAGAGAGCAAGAGTATCGCTTTTGGTTGTATAAAAGTATAGATACTTCTGTAGTCATGGCCCTATTGAATAGTCTTCCTCCATTTCTTCTCACTGCGGTGTTTTATCCAAACAAGCTGTAAGCAAAAGTAACTTCAAGAAATAATAAATGTATGTCAGATTCCAAATATTTTTGTTTGAGAAGAGGTATGATATAGCATGCTTTGGATGGAGTAAAATGGAGTAATCAGTCAATAGAATATTTTTGCTTTGTCCCCTACAGGTCTTATCACTCGTCTCCGACATCCAATTGGATCAGCTGGATGTTCTTCACCAGCAACAGCAGGATTTAGTTATGGTAAATTTTTTGTCTTCTTTTGGTGGAGATCTAGGTATCTGCCTAGGCAAGAATTTAGATTGCATCCACCCAGCTAATAATTAAGTTGTATCTGTGAAATTTCCCAGTAATAAGAAACACATAAACAGCTGCATATTCATCAGAAATGGACACTCATTTCCTCGTAAGGCGTCAGTACCAAATGAGACACTTGACTTGAGTCCTTCTGTTCAGTGACTCTTGTGGTTCTGTTACAACCACCAGTGCATTTCAGAGCTATCTGGACTTTTCTAAGCAAGCCTAAGACTCAAATTCAAAATTTCAAAAGCTATTTGATTTATTGAAATGTTTAGGAAATTTAAATGAATATTTTTTATGGGGAAGATTTTCCTTGTCAGTTCTGCAAGTTTTAGACGTAAGAATGAACTCCTATACAGTATTAGAAATCAAGCAATAAATGCCAGTTTTGTGTATATAGATCAGGAAGTTCATATCATCTGGCTGATGATAGGAACCTCCAAAATCATGTATCTTTTTTGTGAATCTTCCCATTTCAAGGCTTAATATTCTGAAGGACAGAACTATTGTGGTTATTACAATAGAGGCAGTCAGTAACTATTTCTGTAGCAATACTGTCCATCCAGTACTGGTTCAGAGTTCAACGTCACATATGATCATGCCAAAAAGTTCTCATATGTAATCAAAGCTAAACACTTGTGTTATCTGCAAGCTTCAGACATTCCTACATTAAGCAATTTAAACACTAATCACATTCTACAAACTGTGAAATAACATTCACATGTAAACACATATGAGCATGTGGAAATTTTCAGATATTTAAAACTTATGCTATATATAGATGATGAAGAATTGTGATGTTTTGCATTAACTGCAAATAGCAAAGCATGTGTCCCGGAGCACAGCTCAGGAAAGCTGACCTGACTGTTGTAACATTTTGGGTTGCTTTTGTAGAAGAGTGGGAATTAAACCCATCTGAACTGACATTCATGAAAGAACTTGGACGCGGACAGTTTGGAGTTGTTCAGCTGGGTAAATGGAAAGCAACCATCAAGGTTGCCATCAAAACAATCAATGAAGGTGCAATGTCTGAAGATGATTTCATCGAGGAGGCCAAAGTGATGATGTAAGTACAAAAGCTATTATATCTGACAGTTGCCATTGAGATGACGAAGAAATAAATATAACCTAATTCCAATTAAAACAAACAGAGAAAACAGTTTGATGGAAACGGTGGGTGTGCAGGACAGAAAGGCTGATATAAAGGTCGGAACTAGACTGACACAGACGGTCACTGCACCCGTTGACAGACTCTTTAGAGCGTGCACCGCTCTGTGCTGTGGAGCTCAAAGGGGAGTAAATGTGCTGATAAATAGATGTGCTCCCACAACTATTCTTTCATCCATAGTTCAATGCCTCTAGGACCACTGGCAGAGCTCATACCTAACTAAAGCTTTTGAGAAACTATATTACCATTTCTGCTTATTTTGTAAATTAGGGAAGTATCCAGCCCAGAAGAGAAAGAACACTTGCAGGGTCATGTCCCTTGCCTGAAAGCCAGGCATAACTAGATCTTTCCCTTTCACATCATCCAAATCAAACTTTCCATTGACTGCATTTATATAACTGATGAACAATTATGAATTCAAACAGTGCACTTTTTGGAGGAAATTGTAGGCAGAAATGCGTTAGACAGTGGGACAACTCTGAAGCCAGTTGAATTGAATACTGTTTATCAAGCACTGAAAGTACCATCATGAGAATCAAAGTCTAGTTACCTGCCAAGGACAAATGCTAGCGTGTCTAAAATGCAATTTTTAACAGGAAACTCTCCCACCCGAAGCTGGTCCAGCTTTACGGAGTGTGTACACACCACAAGCCTCTCTACGTTGTGACTGAATTCATGGAAAATGGCTGCCTGCTCAACTACCTTCGGCAAAGGCGAGGGAAACTTGGCAGAGACATGCTGCTGAGCATGTGCCAGGATGTGTGCGAAGGGATGGAATACCTGGAAAGAAATAGCTTTATTCACCGTGATTTAGTAAGTGCAATAGGTTTTCTGAAGTTATCGGTAAATATTGGCAGTATAGAACATGCCACTGCATTTTATAGCATGCTAATGTGTCCTGTAAGACTTCAGCCCTGCAAGATCTAATAAGCCAACAGTGTTTTCCTCTCTGTAAACCAAAACTTTTCAGTTGTTCTTTTGTCTGTGAGCAGCTAGAAAAACTACTTGATTGATAATTGAGAGAAGTCAGAGAAAATTGGGATATTAGCATGGTGCAGGACGATGTTAGGACATCCCAATACAAGAGTATCATGCAGTGATCACAACACAACCAAAATCACAGCAATACAAAAGGTCAGCAACAATGAGGGTTGGGGTTTTTTTAAAGAAAATCTTTTTCAATCTACATTTTTTCTGCTCCCTGCTGCCTTACCTTAATGATCGATATCTGGGTGGCTTTTCTGCCCTACCCCTCATACTCAGGGAACCACAGGAGAGGAGCCTGTTTCCTTGTTCTCTGCTTTTTGTGCAGTGCTCACATCTGGATGCAGAGATCTTCCTCCTCTCCTCTCTAGCTGCCTAAAGAAATGTAAAATCTTGAAAATTTCCAAGGAGTTCCCGATTTCTGTAATGAAAAAGTCACAAAACATTTTTAAAAATTCACATTTAGTGTCCTAATGCTAGTGTTCAGGAAATTATCTGCTTGGATAACTAAACTCTGCAGCCTAAAATTCCTTTCAGCATGCAGGTATATGTAAAAATATGGCAAGTCATACTACAAGCATTTAAGCTGATATATGCTATGTATGTGTAACTACACAGTAGTGAAATATGTTCACTGACTCAGAGCCAGAAATTCACTTATATTTTTGAGCAAGACACTCATCTCTTTCTAGAATACATACAGTATGAGCTGAAACAAAAATAATCAGCTGTGGTATTTTTCTTAAAATGCTTTAGCACGTGTTTCAGATAGGTTTCTCTCATTTTCCCCAGGCTGCAAGAAACTGTTTAGTCAATGCTGAGCACATCGTTAAAGTGTCCGACTTTGGCATGGCGAGGTACGAGGCCATTGACGCAGGTTTCGTGAGTACCTATTCTCAGCTGCAGCATGACCTTGAGTTAACCTCGTTGCTGGCTTCGCTGGTTTGGGGAATCCCATTGCAGTCAAATTTTGAATTCTGATGAAAATTATAATGTTATTTAACTGTTGTGCCATGAACTGGGTGTCATGTCCTCCTCTTGCTATTGGTGAGGGTAAGACAAAGTGACAGGTAAACTTCAGAAGTGCTTACGGACAGAGAAATGCCCAGGGCGCACAGAGCTGCCAGAAGCTTGGAGAAACAAGTTCCCCAACTTTTCTGAGCAGCAGGGAGGACAGAAAGTCCCTAGGGACAAATCCGGGCACTAATGCTGACCTTTGGAGGTGGCAGTGGGTGAGTAGGTTGGGCAGAAGGCAGGGAGGACCGGCAGGGCAGGCAGGAAGCGCGATGTGCGCTGCTCTAGCAGGGAAGTGGTTTTTCTGCTTAATGAGATGACTAGCCAAACATAGAATCATAGAATGGTGAGTGGGAAGAGACTTTGAAGATCATCTTGTTCCAACCCCCCTGCCATGGGCAGGGACACCTCCCACAGACCAGGTTGCTCAAAGCCCCATCCAGCCTGGCCTTGAACACCTCCAGGGATGGGGCATCCACAGCTTCTCTGGACAACCCGTGCCAGTGCCTCACCACCCTCACAGTGAAGAATTTCTTCCTGATATCTAATCTAAATCTACCCTCTTTCAGTATAAAAAAGTTACCCCTCATCCTGTCACTACACTCCCTGATAAAGAGTGCCTCCCCATCTTTCCTCTCAGTCTTACGGGTGGTATTAAAATGGTTTATGCTGACATATTTCTCATGGACAATTCAAACCATTCATTTAAACAGAAATCTCTTTAGGTGCGTATCTTCTAGCGTAGGTATCTGTGTGCATTCCACATTAAATTAGTGATACTATTTCTTTGTTTCTAAATTGACACAGCATTTTTATGGAATTATAAACCACCTGTGGAAATGTTGCTAGAACTGCTTGCCCTTTGACTATCACTAAAATATATGCTCTTTCCTGTTATTCTTTAGGTATGTCATTGACGACGAATATATCAGCTCTTCAGGTGCCAAATTTCCAGTCAAATGGTCATCTCCTGAAGTCTTTCATTTCAAAAAATACAGCAGCAAATCGGATGTCTGGTCATTTGGTGAGTTGATTAGGTGAATGTGCAACATACTGTGCTTCCCTAAGACTACTGTTATGATTTAAGAAAGTGTAACTTTTTACTGCTACTACCTATCTTAAGCTTGAGTCCTTCCCATTTTTCAAATCTTGTCTATATTAGATGAGTATGATTTTTAATAGAAAGGCTCTGTGCCTAAAGATTAGATTTTGACTGAAATGTGCATTCTTGGTACATCTCCATTACTCAAATGTATATTCATCTCTGTTTCACAAACCATCAGCTCACTTAAATGAGAGCAGAATTGTATCCGTTGAAAATAGTTTTGGTAGTCAGTTCAGCTCAGGTGGCCCGTAATTTCAGACGATCCACAAAAAAATCAAGAGTGGGTTTTGTGCTTCTAATGCCATTAAATATCTTGTGGGTTTGGGGTTTTTGGTTTGTCCTGAATGTTTCGGTTCACTTCTAGGTGTACTGATGTGGGAAGTTTTCACGGAAGGCAAAATGCCTTTTGAATATAAGTCAAATTCTGAAGTTGTCCGCGAGATTTCTCAGGGTAACCGACTTTACCGACCACATTTGGCATCACATACTGTGTACAAAGTCATGTACAGCTGCTGGCATGAGGTATGTTGACCTTTTTTTTCTTGTGATATTACTTCATGTTATTGTTAATTTGTAATGTGGATATAAAGGCAGTCTTCAAAAACTGAGGCATTAAATTCTTATTTCACATCTGTGGCATCCTCGGTGTCTCTCACTATGCTTTTTACAAATCACATCTAAGTTTACAAGCCTCTGTTTCTTTTGACTGTTGCATCCAATAAATATAAAGCACATCATCAATCCAACAGGTCTACACCATCTCTGGTTTGGAATATGCCACTATTGTCTTGCTTCTCTACTGCATAAAATGTAATACTTTTTTCACCCCTCCATCATGCGTAGCTTTCTCTAGCTCTGCTCTGAATGATAACCTGAAGATATTCATATACAAAGTGGGTATACCCACTAAATGTGGATTTTAAATCCTGTTTTTCAGGGTACATCTGTACATCCCTACAGTTTCTAGGCTGCACCCCTTTCACCCTTTCCACTCTGACTTAATACTCGATGTTCTTTCTCTATTTCTCAAGCAACTATGTCTTTCTATATTGGTTTCAAAACATTCATTTCAGCAACTTCTCCATCTGAGCAATCCCTTAAGGTCCCTCCTTGTGTAGTGACTCAGGAAGTGAATCTTTAATTTTAAATAAAAAGTACTTTCAGAAGAGCTTTGTGTGCAATGCTTTCATGGAAATTGGCAGGTATACACTGAGAATATCTGGGGAACCTTGTTGCTACCATTGCCTCCTTTATCCTACCTCTCCTTTCTTGCCCATAACTCTATGAAATTTTTACACCTTGAGTAAAAAAAAAACTTAAGATGTTGAAACCTGAACTGCATCTTGCTTGCTTGCTTACTGCAAAAATCCATCAGGATGCCAGCCTGCAGAGAGAGGATGGGGAAGAAGTTCTCTCTTCTCCTGCCAGGAGTTTGTTCCATGCTCAGCTGCAATACATCAAATGATACAACAGTGAAGATCCTTTTTCACCAGCCCAAGAAACATTCCTGAGTATCATAGTTTCCTGAGATGTGGTTCTTTCCAGTGATCCGTTGCAGGGGAGAAATCCTATAGGAATTCTGGTCCAGAACTGAAATAAGTATAAAGAAATTTTAGGAATGCTTGGAAAAGTGGCTGTGCTCACGCTGCTGGTGTCATGAAGAACATCGACTTTTTTCTCTCAGACAATAAACTTGATATTTTCTTCTGTATTAATAAAATAAAATGCAGTTTTAAAATGATAGCTCATAGGTACTTGTAACCATCTTCTGAAGTCTGGTACGATAATTTATCAATCTGCTCACATAAATTTATCCTCTGCTTTTCTTTTCAGAAACCTGAAGGACGTCCCACTTTCGCAGAGTTAATAGAGACCCTCACAGATATAACAGAGATGGGATAATTGGAGATTTTACATGAACGTATTTACTGAAAGGTTAGCATTAAGCATGTCAGTAATGTAGCTGATGCAGAAAACCTCAGCCTTTTACAGCAGTCTCTGCTTAAACTGCAGTACCAACATCCTACAAATTGAAGCAGCTGTTCAGGCTTGAGCTAATTTTTACTCATTTGAGAAAGATACCTCAGGAGACTGGTTTGGGACTCTCAAGGCTTTGTTTTCATGATTTGGAAGAAAAATCTGTCTGGAAAGCAGTAACCAAGCTTACTCACCATATAGGCCTTTTTATTTATTCTTTTTGTCAGAGCTACACTAATTCCTGTGACAGTATTATTAAATTATTTGGTACTTAATATGACTCACGCACTGGGGAATACCGCTTGGCAGCAGCAAAAAAATGATGGAAGAACCTCTGATAAAGCCCTAGCTGGGTCATGTTTAAAGGCAAGCCCTTTTGCTGCGAGGCACGCAGCACCGAAGCCGTGGAGCAGTGTTTCAGAAGGGGCAGCGAGCCAAGTCCCAAGCTCTGGAGCAGCACCCACGCGTGTGCCCGTACCCGCTGCTGCGGAGAAAGGCGGGCAAAGGGAGCAAAGGGAGCAGTCATCACTTAGCAGCTCCCAAGTCACATCTGAGCAGCTGGAAAGGCCGAGCATCCCTGAAGCATCTTAAACCTGCATGGCAGGTCAAGGCACCTTCTCCACCAATTCTGTATAAAAGAAGGCCAGTCAGGATTATTTTATCCAAACCTCTCCCACAATTTTCCAGTATCGTCTCCCACTCCTCGCCTGCTGCTGCCTACTCAAATGCCCGTGCTTGCCTTAGTGCCTTGCAAGTGGCCAGAACGGTTAATGGGCAAGTTAAAGCTGGAACCTGACAGTAAAACAAAGTGTTTTGCATTAGTCTAGCTCAGATGGATCCTGTGATACCTGACATGGACAATTTCTATAACCCTACTTCTTATGTTATTACTCACTTTTAGTTTTAAATCTTAATTTTGGTCTATACAAATAGAGAAGAAAAGGCAGATGAAGTTAGTAGTTGTTTAATATAAAATAGTCAGACCATTACAAATAAATAGGTTCTTTAAAATATGTGATTGCATTGTGAATTATTTATAGGTAAATACATCATAATGCTTAGTTCTATAACACTTTGTAGACAAAATATGTAAAACACACTAGCTAAAGAATGATTGAGCTCTGCACAATTCAATTTTTTCATTTCCAAATTCAAAAAATAACTGTAACAATACAATGAAATATATCAACCATCCCAAGTCTTGAATTTCCAGAAGATGAGGGCATCTCTGGGTCAAATTTGCTCCTGGCATTAATCAGTCATCTTTACTGCAGTGGTACTTTGATAGTTATCATCCCTTGGGAAAGCAAGTTGTTAGTCCTATTGTTTGAACATTTGGGAGCACCTTCAAACACATTTCTAAGGCATTTCTGCTTCAGCTGAAGCATGATGTCCCTATCGTTTCATATAATCTGCTAGAACAATTGCCACCAACTGATGTCACTGTTTACTTTTGTAATCGACTCATTTATGAGCATTCAGTTCCTTATTAGACCTATGACTAAATACAGACCCATACAATGCAGTACACACATTGGACTCGCCACAATTTATGCCCAGGCCACGAAAGTACAAGGCTTTTCAGCAGATGATGCGCTACAAATGTGCAGTTCAAACTGTCTGCAATAGAAAAGTACCTGGGGACTTTGAATAATGTATGCGGCATCTTTTTTAAGAGGTCTTGTAAAACTGGTTTGGCCACATTTACTTCTTCTGCAAGTTAGTATGTAATACACTATAGTACCATGCAATAAAAAGCTCCGGTAGGTTAAAGTACTCAAAGCACCCTGCTCATACTCATTTCACTGAGTTGTCCTATGGTGAATACATGTCCATCCTTGAAACATGTTGGTCTGATACCATGGAGCCAATGATGCTTGCCTATCAAGCCTTCAGCTTCTCAGTACAACCCTTCTGTAGCCTGCTTTGGGAAAATTACCAATAGGCTGTTATTAACACTCTGACGCAGAAAAATTTAACAGCTGCTATCATCAGGCTGACTGTAAATAAACGAAAAAGCTCTAGAACGTGCTTCAGAGTCAGCGCTCAATCAGCAACAAGAAAGGTCTACAGGACAAAGGTCGGGTACGTACAGCGTATTGACTTACCACAACAGCTACACCCATAAATAAAGACTAAGTAGGACACCTTAGTCCACACGGTGTCTCTGAGCTTAGCTCAAACTCCAACCATATTCAAGCAGGCAAAAAATTGAAGTACTTATATGGGTGAACAGTGATTGCCACCCAGATCACTGAACACAAAGAGGCAAACGGACGTCTGTTAGCTGTTTTAAAAAATAGCTTTGTGTGATAAAAGAGAGACCTGGAAGAGCAGTAAAGGTCAGGAGACACTGTAACACCTCCATACAGGGAATGTCTCATCAACGACTGTAGGAGTGCTCAACATTTGTGAAAATTCAGCGATGTTTCCTGATCAAACATCAGAAAACTTGCAGCAAAGTCAGTATTACGGACAGGAGGAAAAAAGGCAGAATTCCCAGCTTCTTTGTGCAAGCCACCTAGGATATACTGTTTTCTATAAAAAAGCCACATTGTTAGTAAACTGGAATGTATTTTCAGAAAGTGAAACGACGTCCCTCATCAAAAATACTCCTGCTGAGCAACACCGATCAGCCGATCAATGATCAGCTGATCAATTACTTGCGTGTACAGGTCTGGCGACATTTATCTCCAGCGCCATTTGGTTTTCAGACCAACTTTCCCCCCGCCCTCTATTACGAAGTTTCACAAACGGGGAAGCCCGGCAGCGGCACGAAGGCACATCACCAACACCACTCCTCCCTCACACACCGGCCTCCCCGTCCTGTTCTGAACCTCGGCACCATTTTAAAACCTGCCAGAAAGGAGTCAGCTATGGGAAACCCGCTCTGCTAACAGAGTATTTTCTAACAACACTCACCAGATTTGCTTCACTGGAATTTAAACAGTAAGAGAATGGCATTTGCTAGGAGTATATAATTCCCCATATAGTTCCAGGATGCAACCCTGATGAGTAAAGAGGTTGAAGGTTTGAACCAGTACTCTTTGGGATGGAAATTTTTTATAGCATGGGTGTTTTAAGCGTGGCTGGGAAGGCAGGTAAAGGAAGATGGTAGAACAGGTTTCTATAGAAACTAATAACCTATGTACTGCCTTCCAAATTCCCTGCAGCTCACTTAACCTACCCAAGTCTTCTTGACCCACCTACATTTAATCAGCACTGCTATCTCATGAATTTAATTGCCCATTAATTTGTTCTGAGGTACTGTAATGAGGTAATGAGTAGCTGCCAAAATTTGTTTTGTATCAGCATTTAAAAGCCGTAATTTGGTTAGCAATGTATTGCCTCTGAGGTTTCCTTTGTTCTAGTTCTTAACCATTCCCCCTACTTTCCAAACCACTTAAAATTACTTTAGATAATAGCCTTCATTTCCCTGTCTGGAAAACCTGACAACTCCCTGAAACACTCTCCATCATTGAGATTGGCCATGAAAAAGAGAACCCTAATACATCAGTTTGGGTTTTTTTTTCCCTAGTTTAAAAGGGAAGGCATTCTCACTTGCCCATTATTTTTGTCCCTAAAAATCCCTGTCTTTTGACTACTAATCATCATCATTAAATGTTCCTTGCTGAAGCTTTCTACAGAATACCAAGGTAAAAATAACACATCTGGACAAATTGGGTAATTTTGTAAGAGAAGCTAAAAACTCTTAATCTCCCCATGCTCTTCCCTCCAGATCCATCATAACATTATGGACTTTTTAGTTCAAGGTGGATATATAGTAGTTTCACACATGTCTTTTCTAGGAGAGCAGAAAATTTTCTTTCCTATCAGAAAAACCAGTAACAGTCAAAGCTACTAAAAGATGGTCATGATCAGGTCAGATGCATGTGAACTGCAAGGACATCACCCAGACCTTCTTCATCTAGAATCCACTTACGTGTGCATAGGACCAGCTGGTAAAACCAAGATTGTTCACTTTTGATCTATCAGATAGCATTTAAACACCTACCAGAAAGCAGAATTACACTCCTTTTTATCCCTTCTTTAAAAAACACAGATCATTTAATACATAATGCATGAATAATTTATTACAAGAGAAATATTAGCATAATTTCGCTAAAATTTAAAATTCCAAATTAGTAACTAAATATTAACATTTTCAAAAATAACGTATCATAGCAAATGTTTTTTTTATACAAAAAGATAATGAATAATTTACTTCTTAACATGATAGACTTCCTGTACACCATGAAAATAAGTGTTAACTTTGGTTTTCTGACATTGTAAGAAAATAACGTTATTTTCCTAGTAGATGTTATTTGTGTATAAAAGCAGATACACAAGTCCAGTAAAAAATACAGAACTTTTGCTTGGTACAAGTTAATTGTCACGAGTTGATATAAAAAGAGCCCAGACTTGGTATAAAAAAAGGTCAGACCCTTCTCAAAGAAAGCATTACTACATATCTTTAAAAAATGCCAACACACATCCATTCAAGAACTGGACTGGTTGCTTTTTCATACAAATAACCCATTTGGTCACACCACAGTGATGAGTAAATACAGGGGCCACTGGCTATGCTAAAGGATGTCTTTTTCGGGTCAATAAATATTTTCTTCATTTATTCTTTAAATTGTGAAAAGCAGCGTAAGTTTTTCTTAAAAGGCAAACCTTAAAGAAAACTCCATCTTCAGTCTTTTTATTATTTCTATTACCTGTTTTTAACTATAAAGATTAGGTAGCTTGACCCTGGCGGATAAAGCCAAAGCATTCTCTACATTCCCTAAGAAGTAATGAAACTGTGTATGTATTTTCTTCTCTGAAGCATTTCTAACACATGCATTTTAACAGCAAAGAATTGCTGCAAGTCTCATCATGTGGAAAGCTGAAAAAAATTCCAAAGCTGTATACATTACCAT